ACCACTGATGGTCCATAAGGTCCGAAAGGTTGGCGACCGCTGGTCTAGAGTATAATTGTCCATAGGCAAACAGGTTTTTAAAAGAGCATATTGCATATCTTTTTAAAAAATGTATAATTTTTTTATTGATTCAGAGAAGGGAGAGTGAGAGATAGAAACATCAATAATGAGAAGAGAATCATTGATTGAATGTCTCCTGCACGCCCCCTACTGGGGATTGAGACCACAACCGGGCATATGCCCTTGATCAGAATCGAACCTGGGACCCTTCAGTCCACAGGCTGACGTTTTACCCATTGAGCCAAACCAGTTAGGGAGTATTGCATATCTTAAGAGCATTTCTCTTAAGATAGGCAATATCTTAAGCTTTGGCCTTTTATTTTTCCCCTTTGTGTCTATAGTCCATGGGCTTTCTCTTTTTCAACGTCCTTATGCCTATTTTCTATGCCATCCTGTCTATATTTCCAGAGCCTCTCACCCCAGGAACCAAAAGACCCAACTCATTTGCCATCTGTACTACTTCTCTGAACTTCCATAGCTCCGAAACACAATGCAGGGCTTCTTCTCACTCAACTCTTTCCGGGTTTGTTCTGCAGCTGTGGAGTTTGAATGTTAGTGTTTAAACAAGCTGGTATTACACAGGAAATGGCCACCTCCACAGGCCCCTGCAGGCTTGTAACATGGGGTCATTGTACTTGATATTAATCACCAGTCAGCCTGTTCCCCCAGTAAAAAAAAAAAAAAAAAAAAAAGAAGGGGTGTGTGCGGGCTCAGTCTTCCTTAGACTTGCCAGAGGATGGCCTGGGCCTTGGTTAGGCCTTAGTACTCCACTCTCCATACTGTCTGCCCACCTCAGTCACACCCCATATGGAGCTTTTGCAGAAAAGGTCCCACCTGACCTTTTCCCTATAAAGCTGGCAGATCTGCCTTTTGTTCTGAGTTCTAGGAAGAAGATAGATTGTTGTGATATAACTTGCCTCACATATCTCATACCTTCATCTTTCAGAGCATGTTATAGTCGAATAACATCTTACATGAGAAAACGCCAAAATTGTAGAAACACAGAAATCCATTGGTCCACCTGAAACCAGAGCTTCAGAGTTCCTTGGACTGAAGCTACTTTTCTTATGTTGTTTGCAAAACTAACTCCAGCCTGAAGGGTTAATCTGATTCCCCAAGTCAATATCCCCCAAACAACCAGCCAAGAGTGTGCGTTGGTTCATTTCTGTTAAATGTGTTTCCCCAGTCACCTGGGCTGGCCTGGGCTGCATTGTATCGGCCAGCAGCTGCACTGCACTCAAACTGACAGCTACATTAAACCTTGGAATTCTGAGGCAATAAAAAGTAAATTAACTCTTATTTTTTTCCTTTCCTGGTGGAGTAAGTGAATGCATGTCTGTGGAGAAGTGAGTGAACCTTGGTCCTGAGTGCATACCTCTAACTAGCCACTGCTGGTCTGTCCCAAGCTAGAATCTGGTGTCCAGCCAGGGGTCTGCTTTCCTGGTGTGTGGTGTGTTCTGTGGGGTTGGGCCACTGGGTCACCCTACAACTGCTGATCCCTGCTCACTAATCACATCACAGCTGCTGAGAGGCTCCCTTGCCACCATTCTGAGAGCCATAAACGGACTCGTTGGACTCAGTTTCATACTCTCTGTCTGCTTTGTGTCTGCTAGGTGAAGAATGCACCCTAGCTTTAGTGGGATTTTGTGGGCTCTGGGAGCTTCCCCAAAATATGAGTTGGGACTAGAACAAGCCAGAGGGACTTGCCTGAGCCCATAGCACTCTAGAGGGTTCATTTAGAACCAAAGTTGGTTTGCAATGGACTGGAAAACCTTTTGAAGTGTCATTTCCAAAGCATTTCTAAAAGATTGGGAGTTGTTTAAAGCTCCTCAGAGCCATCAGAATTTTACTTTGGCCTACTCAGCCCAGGCCAACCTTGAATCCTTAGACTCCAAGGGCAGCTGTGGGGTGAAGGTTGGAAGGCACTCCTAACTGGGATAAGGAACTAGAGCAGGAAAAAGCTAAGCTTTTCCCCTTCTACTCAGGAAACCCTGTGTTCACCCACGGAACTGACCTCTCAGCTGGGAGGCCTGATTGGGGTAAGCTGAGGTGATGGTATCCCCCAGGTTTCAGGAATGACCTCATTCTTTTGCAAATATCTTAACTTCCGGGGTTTAGGCATCTCACCTTTTCCTTTTAGTGTTAGTTTCCTAACACTTTCCTCTTCCCTGCCCTCTGTGGAGAGTCACCATATGGCCCATGGGTGCCTTGTTAGTTGTGCTCTTGTCTGTGGTGCCACTTTATATTTCTGAGTTGGGGACTCAGGACACACCCTATGTCTTCTGGCACCAGCTGCTGTCTTACACATTAACACAGCGGTAGGAACTCTCATCCACTTCATTTTTGCAGGAAGTCTTAAGATTTTGGCACAAGGTGGGTGGGTGGGTGGTAATGGGCAAAGGGCAGATGTGGGCAGGGGTCCCTTGTGGTGGCCAGCAATCTCTGGGAGGAGTCAGTTTTGGTTTATCTGAGCCGTAGGGGACAGGGAGGATGGTAATGAGAACCACATGGTAGCACATATTTCTTCTCTTGGATCCAAGATGGTAGGGGTAAGAGGATAAGAGAGGGATGTGGGGCCTCCCACTGTGGCAGCCACGGGTAATTTTCTTTTGTCCCTCCCTGGCTGGGGATGCTGCTGCCCACACCTTCCACCCCCAACTACATCCTGCAGCAGCCTTGACCTGCTCAGCACCAACCAAGGCCCCCAAGCCAAGAATTCAGCTGGGAGACTTTTCACCTTCTTCCTTCTCACTGTCGTCTTTCCTGTTTATTTTCCAAATTGCTGCTCTGCAGCCGAGCAATGCCTGTTGGCCAGAGCTCACCAGCGCTGTGGGATCAGACTCAGGCAGTGGGCTCAAGTGGCCAGCAGGGCACTGGGGGAGGAAGCAGGGAGCTGGAAGAGCCTCCCTGTGCGTCTCCCATGGGCAGTGCTAACCTCGGAGGCGGCCCTGAGCAGCCCTATCACATCCGGTGCTTGTCTCTGCAGCCGGGACTGGAGGATAAACTATCAGAGCTGTGGGGCAGTGTATCATTCCTCTTATTATTTTCTTCTCTGCAGATGGGGTCGTGGAAAGTTCAGTTCCTTTTAACCCTCGAAGTTCTGTTTATTCTACAGCTGGTAGCCTGAATGCGCGTTTCCCATTACATCACAAAGGGGCTCAGGCAGATCTCTGCACAGAAACGTGTTGCAACTGTTTATTTTTTTCCATATTTAAACATTTCTGACAGCCAAACCCAGCTGAGCCAAAAGATGGAGCTTTGTGAATGAGTCTGGTTGTTGGTGTCTGTGCAGAGAAAGGCTTTAAAAAACCCTTGTCCCTCCGGTGATTCTTCCCAAACAAGTTCTTTTTCCTGGGCAAAGCCTGTGAAGCGAGTTACTTCTGCTGTACACGTGTGTTGATTATGTGCCGTTGTGTGATTAATGGGGCTGTGTTCCGCCTGGTTCCCAGGACACTCTTGAAAACAAGATGTTTCATTTCATTGCCTTTTCCTAGTGCAGTGATTACAGTAAATAAACCAGTGCAGGCTCCTTCCACCTGGATCCAGTCAGGGAGTCCCCACACCTCTACTCCACTTTCTCTCCCAGCATCACCTTCAATAGCATGTCCCTTGAATGCCCTCCTTTCTGCCATCCCCCCAAGTTCCTAGCCTCCAGGAGCAACAAATTGCTTAGATCTGAAGCCCCTCTTTGCAGATTTGGCTCATGCGCAGTAACCAGGCTGGGAAGATTCCAGGATGTAGCTCATTCATATACCTTTCTGCTTTTTGCCTCTTGTCACTCCACCTTTTGAACCAAATTGTAAAGTTTTTTCTTTATAATTCTTTTATGGGTCTCCTTTTGGAGTACAACTTAGCTTCCATAGGGTACTTGCCTGTTCCAGACTGCCTGGTTAGGTTGTCCTCTGGGGAAGGAATGTAAGTCTATGGACTTGGTAGGCCCTGAATCTGATCATCTTGGCTATTTGAGCTTGTCTTGGGCTTGTCAAAAGTATCCTTAGCTCCCACCCAAAGGGGAATCTGAACCACAGGAGATTTTTGGCAGTTGATGGTGACAGAGGAGTGAACCTTTTAATAATTCTGCCCTGAAGTTTGAATTGGGGAGAACCAGATTTTGCATTTTCAAGATTTATTCTCAGGTTCAACCAGGGCCTGGTGATACGCAATTAGGATCACCATCCATTCCAATCAGCTCAGGACTGAGGTGTTTCTGGGAATGCGGGGCTTTAAATGCTAAAACTGGGATAGTTCCAGGCAAACCATAATATTGGTTACCCTATGTCTAATTTTCTACAATTGAGGGAAAGGAGTGGGAATAGGATGGCCAGGATAGCGCTGACACGGTTCAGCTGCTGAAATGAATGGGAAGCTTGGCCGGCCAGGAATGAGGTTTTTGTTGGATGTGTGTTTAATTGTTTTTTTGCTTATATATAGGAAGAGATTTCTAAAGCATTATAAGAAAGGAAAAAGCCCGCAAACACATGACTTTCCCTGGTGTGACTAGCCCCTCTGGCTGTGCAAGAGGAGGGAAGATTGGCTCTCTGTAGCTGTCTGTATGGCATATTCTTGGCTAGACAGGAGTGGGGGAATTCTGGGAGCTGCCTCAGGCACTGGGTGTCCAGAGTGTTTGAGTAAGTGTCTTAGGCACACTGTCTGGAAAGGTGACAGGACCTGCATTAGGCAACTGATTCTCTAAATTCTTCTCTCTCTCTGGTTAGGATTAAAAACTCCCCCAAATCAACTTTAACTTTACACGGATGTACACACATTCACCAGATTGCTGCCAAGGGTGCGATTTCGTATCCTAGTTTTTTGGTAAGATTTTCTGGCGGATGCCAGCCGTAGACATTTGCCATAGGCACTTCCCTGTTCACAAGTGCTTAGAATACTTGAACTGGTCCCTCTTTAGAGCTGCTCTTCTTTTCTTACCTTATTTCTCACAGGGTTGCTGTGGATGTATGGTCGATGCTGGCTGATTTCTGTAACATACTGACTGCGGTGAATCAGTCTGAGGTGCCACTGTACAAGGACCCGGACGATGACCTCACCCTTCTTATTCTGGAAGAGGATCGGCTTCTCTCGGGCTTTGTCCCCTTGCTGGCTGCCCCTCAGGATCCCTGCTACGTGGAGAAAACCTCGGATAAGGTCAGCCCCAGGCCAAACATCACTCCCCATTCACCCTTCCTCTTAATTCTCCAGACTTTTTTATTCTTGGGAAGTTTTCTGTGCAAACGGAACATGATTAAGTCATTGAGAAGGGTGTTAAGGGAAAATATCGACCTTTTAGCCGCTGACATCCAGCTCTGTGTCCTGAAAAAAAAAGCCCTCTCGACTTCCTTTGGTGTGTGTGTGTGCTTGCTGGCATGTTGTATATACGATCATTTCCTCACTTGTTTAAATAGTCCAGCTTGTGTTGGCAGTGCTCTCACTCAACTCCAAATGGTTTGCATCATGCTTAAAGCACCCTCCTTCCTCCCCCCTTCCTCCTTCCTCCCAGCCACAAAACTCTGCACTAGGAAAACAGCCAGGGCTTTTCCCCTTTTCTAAGGAGGAGAGTGATAAATAGGTGACTAGAGAGAAGCAGACACCATGTGTTAACTTACAAAAAAAACTTTTAGGAATATGAAGCATTCCCCATTCGTTGCCTGGTTTCTCTTTTTCTTCCTCTGAGGACTGATTTAACCTGAACCTTTTTCTGGTCTGTCTGTTTATAGAAAACAAAGTCCATTGCTGTTGCCCTGGTGGGGACTGTGGAACTTAGTCTCTGTTTAACAGTTGTGTCTTTGGCCAGGTGCAGAGAGTAAAGCAGTTCATTCTGCTTTACATTCTCATGTAACAGTTGCTAGACTGAGGAAGTAGCACCCACAAACCCTAGGAGCAGAGTCTCCTGTGCTGTGCAGGAGAACCCTGTGACTGAGCTCTCTATGGAGTTGTTAGCAGTGATTCCTGGGAGAGAAGCCTTTGGGATAGAGTCCACAAATGGCTTCTCAGGAAGAAGTCTTTTGACTTAGATGAAGTATGTATAGAAATGTGGGTAGATTTTTTTTTTAAGATAGTAAAAACTAAATACCAGACTTAAATTACAAATATAAAGTATTTTATATTTAATATAAAAAATTTTAAACTTGTTCTTAGTAGAAAAAGGTATAAGTTCCTTGTAGACAAAAAAAAAAAAAAAAAAAAAAAAAAAAAAAAAAAAAAAAAGAACATTTATCTACAACCCCTCCCTCTACCCAGAGGTTATATCACTTTTATTTTTGCTGATCATACATAATCATGTTTGACTAATAGTATACACATACACTTTAAAAAAAAATAAAACTGGGGGGTCATATTAATACATACTATTTGTAGTCTGCTTTTTTTTTTTTTTTTTTACTTAATACTTTTAATGTATTTTTATATGGAATCATTTGTATAATTCCTTAATATTCTTTTATATATCAATTATTTCTTTAACCCATTTTTGCTTCATTGAACCAAAGGATTGTTCCCAATTTATGCACTATCAATAGTGAAGTATTTCTTATAGCAGAATTTTTTATATATATTCCCTTTGATTAAATTTCTGTAAGTAGATAAAAGTTCTAGACCTTGGCATACCAAAAATCCATATTCTTTGGATGCATTTAATGGCTAGTAGATTTTGGGAATGTGAAAGCAAAAGAAATATTTTTTTTCACATTTTTTGCAAAAGAAATATTTATTTTATGCTTTTCTAATGAAAAGTTGGAATGAAATCTTGCTCTTCTAGTTTCAGAAGGGAATAAGAATATAGAGTTGTAGTACGTGAGATAGGACAAGCTAACACGATATTTACACTTTGTAAAAGATGTGCAGTTAGAAGAGAAACTGGGTAACCCTGGCTTAAGTCAGGGGATCCTGGTACTATTCTTATGTGATCACAAGGTAGTCTTGACTCCAAGGACGCTTTTGAGAGTTGGCTCTTGTATTAGCTATCTTTTGGCGCAGAACAAGGAGGAGTCCTTACCAGCATCAGACTTTCTAAGCCCTATGTTCTCATCAGCTCTCCCCGTGTTAGTATATGATACATGTGTATAAGATAGCACATAATATGATATATTTGTGATAGAATACAGTTGTTACAAGTATATGATCTGGCCAGAGAAGAACACAGAGCCAGCTGTTCATGCTCTTTGTCACTCATTGACACCAAGGTAGATCTCTGCTTCAAGGATTGTGAAATAGGTGTGTCAGATATAACATCTCCAAATCCAGACTCCTGAATTTTTCTTTCCCAAACCTGATCTTTCTTTAGTCTTCCCATCTTGGAAAATGGCAACTTTGACTTTTGGGTTGCTCATATGAAAATTATTATTTTTTTAATATTTTTTATTGATTTTTAACAGAGAGAAAGGGAAAGAGATAGAGAGCCAGAAACGTCGATGAGAGAAACATCGACCAGCTGCCTCCCGCACACCCTCCACCGGGGATGTGCCCGCAACCAAGGTACATGCCCCTGACCGGAATTGAACCTTGGACCTTTCAGTCCGCAGACCGACGCTCTACCACTGAGCCAAACTGGCTTTGGCGAAAATTCTTGGAGTTATTCTTGTTTCCTCTTTTTTTTCTCACACCTCCATAACTAATTCATCAGCAATTCAAAATAAATGCAGATACAGCTCGTTCTTACCACTACTACATTCTAGTTCAATTCATCAAATGCCTTCTAACTGGTTTTTCTAGTTCATCCCTCCTTTTACTCCCCAGTCTGTTTTCAGCTCAGCAACTGGAATGATCTTTTTAAAACATGAATAAGATCATGTCATGTCTCTGTTTAAAATCTTCTGATGGCTGTTCCTATCACTTAGAATAAAAGCCAAAGCCAAGACCGGTTTGGCTCAATGGATAGAGCGTCGGCTTGGGGACTGAAAGGTCCCAGGTTCGATTCCGGTCAGGGGCATGTACCTTGGTTGCGGGCATATCCCCAGTAGGGGGTGTGCAAGAGGCAGCTGATCGATGACTCTCTCTCATCGATGTTTCTAACTCTCTCTCTACCTTCCTCTCTGTACAAAATTAATAAAATATATTTAAAAAAAAAAATAAATAAAAGCCAAAGTTTTAACTGCAGCCTACATGCCCTCAAGGATTTGACGCTACCTACACCCTCTTAACTATCTGACCTCAGCTCCTACTTCTTCTCATACCCAACATACTCTAGTCATGTTAGCATCCTTGACTGTTCCTCAAAGATGCCTAAGAATCTTTGCACTTGCTTTCCTCTTAACCTGGGACAAACACTATCCCCAGATAGCTGTGTGGCTTTCTCACTCTCTTCTAAATGCCACCTTGTTAGAGAGGTCTTCCCTAGTTACTCAATATAAGATGTTACCCACCTTTCTTTTTCTTTTATTCTGCTTTATTCTACATGGCTGGGGAAAAATAACATCTCTTGAATATCAGCCCCTGGCCTAGGTATTTCATTACGTCCTCACAATAAATCTACCAACTAAGTGCTAGTACCTTCTTAAAAAAAAAAAAAAAAAAAAAAAAGAGGTGACTGAAGCTTAAAAGAAGAGTGGAGACTGATGATAAACTCATGGATTATCTCCATGTCTGACCTGGGAGATTAGTATAGATGTGTCAGAGAGAGTCTTTAAGAACTTGACCTTTTAGAAATCTGAAAATGGTAGACATTTTCTCCAGCTTCTTGTGTTCACTCCTAAGAAATGTAAAATATCTCAAGGACTCTTCAGTAACAGCAACATGAGCAGTGTCATTGCTGGTCAAGATTTATCACAAGTTTGCTCTAGTCTTGATGCTCATTCAACAGATAATTACTGAGCATGCCTACATTACACTGTCTTACACATGCAAAATGAAAGATCCAGATGTATAAGGCAGAGATTCTCCTAGTTTGGGAGGCAGTTTGTGGCATATACAACCGTATGAGAAGCAACATAAGTTAATTTGAACCTGTAATTAAGGGTGAACTCTTAAAATTTTGTTGAGCTTATAGTATCTCAAGACGTTGCCTAATGAGTACTGTTTGGGCATTAACATGACATTGTATTTCCCAAGCATGTTGTATGGCACTCCAGTTTTGTAAGTTCTTAATTGTTGAATGAATGATCTTGTAAGTTAGGGTAAAGCAGTGTTAACTTGGAGTGTTAACTTGATAGCCTTTGCAGTTTTTTCCAAATTTGTTTCACTCTTAATCTTTTTTATTTACTAAACATCTTCAAGGATTAGTGTTCTGCCTAAAATAAAATAAAAAAAAACAACCTTAGAGAAAACCCAGATATGAGATGAGCAAGAAGTGAGAAGACAGGTTGCTATTAGGATTATCCAGAAGTAAGGAAAGGAGTACATATTAGGCTAAAAACTATAGAGTGGAGCTGGTTACATTTCGAGAGAAACATCATATTGCAGATTTGAAATCAGTTAGAGCCAACTTGGGGAAGAAAGTGATCTTAAATTCATTGAGTGGCTGCTAGGCACCAAATTGCAGAAGTAAGTAGCACATTCAAGGTCATGAGCTAGTAAGGAAGTATAGATTAGAACCCTTATCAGTATGACTTTAACACCTCTGTTTTGCCCTTGTGGATAGAGCATCAGCTTGTGGACTGAGGGTCCCAGGCACATGCCTGAGTTGTGGGCTCTGTCCCCAGTGAGGGGTGTGCTGGAGGCAGCTGATTGATAATTCTCATCGTTGATTTTTTTTTCTCTCTCCCTCTTCTCTCTTCTCTAAAATCAATAAAATATATTTTAAAATATTTAAAAAAATAAAACATCAAGTTTTGATGAATGATTTGATGTCTAGGATTTGCTTCAGAATAATCTGTGGAGGGGGTAGATAGGAATATTAATGAAAAAAGGTCAGATATTGATTATTACTAAATATCAATCATTATTGATTACATATTGATCATTATTACTAAATCTGATTAATGGGTACATTGATATCATTATATTCTACTTTTGAATATATATGAATTGTCCATAATAACAAGTTTTAAAAGAAGTAATAAAAAGCCATATTATAAGTAAAACTCTTGTCCTTTCTGCCATATTATACTAGTAGTGCTTAAGTGATTGGAAAGTAATCAAACCATCTATAATAATAAAAGCGTAGTATGCTAATCAGACCAGATGTTCTTCTGGACAACCTTCCAGATGAAGCC